GTTGTATATGTGCGCGGAGTGGGGTGGGTGGGGGTACATGTATATGTCAGCGCTGGCAGTCCGCAGAAAGGGACCGATAAATTGAAATGCGGTAGTCGATGAAAGACTGCGCGTTGGTCGATGTTAACGTATTTGCCTATAGGATGAGTGTCAGAAAAGAACAGCTTTATCAGAGTTTTGGTTTGCTTTCGTTTGCGGTTTAAAGTGGATTGGTGGTTGGTTGGTTGGTGTTCAGTGTTTGTTAACCAACGTCAACGTTACGCATCTTTTCGTGTCTTTTCTTTCATGAGAACTTAGTTATGTCTTGTCTTAAATGGTGTGGGTTTCATGCTCTTATAAACAATGAGAATTTGTTAAAGAGGCAAGACCTCTGAATTTAACAGGGGGGGGGGGGAGTTCTAAAAGGCTGAAGCATGAGGTTGGAGAGCTTCGAAAACTTTCAACACAACTAAAGCTCAGGATTACAAATTGAGAATTCGAACCCAGTTCGTTCTCACCGTAGTCAGTTAGCCCAAAAAGACACCAGTGATACTCTCTCCGTTTTGAATTCTATTGAAACTCGGGGCAGTGAAAGAGTCTTGAGTTTCGGGTTTGAGTTTGTGTCACTGTGACCCTTGCGCTTTCTTTCCTGTGGGCTGCTTGCAAGCAGCAAAGACTTGTATTTTAAAGTCCAACACTGTGCACTCTGGCGTAATTCCGGTTGATCATAGAGCGCACTAGTTATTGACTCTATTTGGAACCAAGATGAGGGGTAAAGAGGGAAAGGTTGCATCCGCACTCAACTGTATCGAAACTTGTGTTTTGCCCTTCAATTACAGGCCCATGGTGCTACTGCTCTACAGAAGAGCCAGGTTTTTATAGAGAACAAAGAATAGCGTACGCCACACTCTCAGACAACCATTGCCGCAGTGTGCATCGTATAAAAAGGTGATATCGCCCGCTCGTTTCTTTTGAAGGTAAATATCTCATCGGATGTGACAGGTTCCCTTCATGTATCTATACAATTGCTCTCTCGCGAGCAATGTCCGTCTATGCGAGCACAGAGACTGTTCTCATTTCTCTAAGGATCCGTTTGGATGCTAAAGATACTCGCGAGACAGACATACAATGATGTCAGGCTATGCAAATTTGTCGCTCGCAAATTATTCCCTTCAGGCAGTTTATACTTTGAAACAAACAAAAAAAAGTTTTGTTAAAGCAAAGATTCCATGTCCTCTCCACGTTGCGTTTTTTTTTTCTTGATCGCTATTCTGAGAGCTGATTTTACATTGAGCAAACAGTTTAAGAAATAAGAACCCACTCCTTCGGTTCAAGAGTTTACACAGTGAAATTGAAGACGGTTGAAGACGCGGCGGAAAAGAGGCGGAGAAGATGGCCACGCTGGTGGGGTCGGAAGAGGTGGCGAGGCAGACGACAGTTGCGGCGTTGAACAGCTTTTCCTGAGGCAGCTTTGAAAGATGCCTCGAACAAGTAAATCCAGATCTTATGTAAGAAGAACGGGTGTTGTCAAAAATACCACTGGAAAGTTTGTATCTCACCACTGTGTCACTTGCTTGTCTACAGGTTCCATCATCATAAATAATTTTCACAAAGACTTCCCGGCAAAGATGTTTTATGTATCGTGTGAGTCAGCTTTCTAGACGAGATGCATGTCTCCCGCCAGAACACGTCAGCTACGTGACTGGAAAAATTTAAGACGCCGCATATAAATTTGGAATCAATGATGTATCCCTTTTGTACGATTATTTGTTGTTTCGTTAAGTTTTTCTCATAGCTCTGAGAGGACTTTTGATAAAATTGGGTGTCGTGATGAGACACTCTAGTCTAATGCTGTTATTATGTTTTACGCCGTTGTCGACAAAATTGATTTAGATTCTTTCAGAGCGCATTCTGTTTCGATCCTGTTCGTCAAAACTAACCCGGGCTGAGAAGGATACAACGTTCTGGCAGGCAGACGGCGATGCATTACACAAATAAATATCAAAATGATTTTTTTCTCAGTTGAAAGGTGTGTGTGTGTGGGGGGGGGGGGGGTGTTCAAATCTCAGTCCAGGTTCTCATTTATCTGCGAGAATAATACTTGACACACATGCCCCTCCATTTTACTCAAGAGGAAATGAGTATCCTGTTACGGCAGTGAAAGATTTTGTTTAAGGGAAAGGATAAAAGAAAGAAGTTGTCTACTCACCATTTGAACTCATCGCCGTGTCTTTTGATGATGGTGTAGGCCGCCTCTATGGCAAAAGGGACCAAAGTGCATGCCAGTAGCCACCAGAGGGTATCCTCCCTCATTACCGTCACCCGCCAGATGGCCAGGATAGAGTGCAGGGCCAGAGTCGCTCGCACGATTATCGCCTTGAAGACTTTTATAACAATCATGGTGCCGAGTCCAGGTCAGCGGTGGTAGTATTTGCGATATCATAAAACGAATAGATTCAGAAGTTATATTTTGTCTTTCGTTTGCTTGGTCCTTCAGCTTTGCACGTTTGGAGATATTGAATAATTTCCAGTCCAAACGATGGTCTTTCCAGGTTGTTCATTCACCCAGAGTATCCTCCTAGCTAGAAAGGTTCATTTCAGGCAATATATTCCAGGCAGAGGGTCTTCAACCTTCACGTGACTTATTCTGGTGAATTGAAACATACAGGGGAGTAAAAAACAAGTTAGATCTACAGATTATTTTATTCTGTTTGAAAAGACAATCAATTTTTTTCCTGACAAATGTACATGTGCTTAGAAGTTTGCAGACAGGAACATAAACGGGACAAAGTACCAAATTATTTTACACGTCCAATTATTCTGAAAACATTTCTCGTGATTTTGTTCCTCGTAACTTCATGGTACCTGAAAAACATAACTAACTCTCGACAAACTCATTTTGTCCTCATTCTGTTAATTACTCTGACGCTAACAAAAGACAGGTTTCAGCATATTAAGCGCATGTAATGTGCTATCAGTTACTCATACGTATCGTCAGAGTTCTATGATAATAATCAACTTCCCATGCAAATGCAGATGTCAAACTGACCCACAGCAGCATTGTATATACAATGACCAGTCATCTTGTCTCGTTATTACGTCAAAACATGTACTAGGAGTTTCTTTTTTTAAAAACATCCTGAACAGGAAAATGAAATTGAAAAAGGAAGTCGTATTAGATATACCCAAATCATTGGTGAACGACTTGCATCATTATAATAGCAAGCTGACCCTAAGTGCTCTTCTTTAATGAGGAAAAAAACTTATCAAGCACAATGATGTGTATTAAAATATTAAAATATAGAGATTATTTCAGGCACCCAGATTACAAGGGGCATCCTACTTCATTTAATCGGGTTCATGATATAGCAGAAATATGATCGTTTGAAAACCACAAGTGCCTTTCAGTTCCAAACGATAAAGAGTTCTCACCCTCAACAATCGATGGGATGTTCTATATCTCTTTCATGAAGCTGTCGACAGTAGTCTGTACCGTCCCTCCTCGAGACATCCTGCAAAGACAAACAAACAAAAGTAAGGAACATCACTGAGAGACATTTCCAAATTACTAACGTATCAAAAAGACATCATTGATACTACATAGCATTACCCTTCAAACAAGTGCCGTCTGGGGTGGGATAATGTAAACACAAGCTCGCAATCAGCTGGTGGTGTCCCGGAAGTGGCTCGTTTGGAGAAACTCACAGGTATTTTACCTCAGGCGCCAAGAAACAACGGATGGAAGCAAATGGTTCCTGTTGTGAACGGGCAAAACAACGAGTGCTAATTTCCGGTGCTTACACCTCCTTAGTCTTACCCTCCACCCC